TGGAAGATTGTCTAGCCGATGAGCTAGCTCGTTGCCGACGTGGAGATGGTGAGCAGGAAAAGACAACAAGCCAATATTCAGCTTACCTGGGGGTCGCTTTCCTTGAGGTCTCTTGGGAGGCTGTAGGCGAATCCGCATCTTCAAAATGACGAGGCGGTGGTCGGTCCACCCGTCAGCACTCAGAATCGCCTTTGTCACCAGCACATCCCGCTGGTCTTGCCTCCGGACGGGGACTGTCAGCCGGGTGCCACTGACGCAACCGACGGTGCATCCAGGTGGCCTTCTCTCGCATCGGGAGGCGGAACCATGTGCTGGGCAGGATGAGTCGGTGCTCTCCGCAGGTGCGGAGAAGGATCAGACCATTGTCGTTGGAGCAATTGAGACCTTGGCGACCGAGCACTCCTCTCCAGGCATCATGGTCGTCTGTGCCGACGCGGGCGTTGAAGTCACCAAGGACAGTCGACTTATCCGTGTTTGTCACAGTCGCCAGGAGGACGTGTAGGTCCTCGTAGAATTTGTCCCTTGCAGTGTCGGGGCTGATCATCGGCGGAGCGTAGACGCTGGTGATGGTGACGAATTTGCCTTCCTGAAGAGGCAGGCGGAGGCTCATCAGACGATTGTTGATACCCTGCGGCAGACACGGCAAGCGTTCCACGATGTCGTTCCGGATGGCAGTGGCGACACCCTCGTTCCGTCGCTTTCAGAGAACCGGACCCCGCTGAGTGCTGCGATGTCCTCCTCGTAGCGCGCCAGTTCCCGAACCACTAGCGCCGTTGTCCGCTCCGGTCGGTTGCTGCTCGGATTGTCTAGAAGAGAACGAACATTCCAGGCTGCCAGAGTGAGCGGGCTCACCCTACCAGTCTGGTGAGTGGGGCGGTGGGGAGGAAGAGGAGAAGAAGAAGAAGAAGAAGAAGAAGAAGAAGAAGAAGAAGAAGAGGGAGTGGGAGAAGTAAGGGAGATTGTTGGTTCGATGTTGATTGTTTCGACCGTACGGTTCGCGTCTGCGGCCACGGTCAACCTGCAGATGGCGTGGTTCCCAGCATTTGTTTTGAGCACATTTTTTAGCCCTTTCCTCCTCGTGGTGGTCAGTAGTGCAATTTCTAAATAGGGCTGCTCAGTTGTCCCAGCCGACTGCTGGAATCCGCTATGGGCCACGACTTTTGTCTATTGGGAGAGCGACTCTAGTTAGCCTGGAACTGCCTACGATGACGCGTAAGCGAAGGTAGAGAGATGAAAAGCATTGCTTTCCCGTCAGCTCTCTAGATTTTCTGGAAGGTGAAGTAGGAGTGGGGAGCAGGCATATTTACCAGAGTGACATTTAACTTACGGTAAGGACAGACACGAAGAAGCAGATAAAAGCAGGCAGGCAATGACAGCACGAAGCAAAGGCGACGCAGGAAGCCCGACGGAGCGACAATTAGCTTTCAACAAACACAGAAAAACAGTCAGAGAGCTGGCAACAAGAACAAGCAGAGCAAAGGCAGCAGAGCAGCGTTCGCTTACCTGGGGGGCTAACCAACCTCGTGGCCTCCTATGGTTGTCCAGACGGAGCCTCGTCACGACGATGCCAATGCGGCTATCCATCCGGCCAGCGGAGTCTTTATGGCCGTGCGCGCGGATGCACACGCGGATGGCCTCACCTGGCTTAGCCCGCCAGTCGAGGCGGTTATCGGGACGTTGCCGCCAGGCAGAACCCAGCTTCTGTGAGCCACATGTGAGAGTTGGGTGCCAGCAGATGGACGCTAAGCGTAGTCTGCGCCTGCAAGCGTGCGAACGACCTACTACTACCCACCGCTGGACACCCCGGTGCTCCGCACACACACACATGCGTATGCACGGCAACCATTATGGACTCGCGCAGACTCAGTGCAACCCGATAGATGCGCGCCGTGAGCCATTCCGACGCCGTTCTGGTTTGGCGCATCTTACGATGCGGCCTTTTGCTGAAATCGATGCTGCTGTGAGGGCATAAACACCCCGATTAATCTCTCTGAAGCTGTTTTCTGTCCACTGCAGAATGATTCATTTATGCGTGTTCGTCTCCTAACCCTACTCAACCTGCTCTTCGCAAACCCCTTCGGAAGCGAGGTATGCGTGGGGTATTTTCGTATATTCGATTTGGCTTATTCGCCAATCGAACCGTGACCTCCGTTTGCGCGGCAAGTTTAGCTAGCCACTTCGCATGGCTGTCGTTTTAAATCACTAAAGATGGCGCAACCAAGTGTGGATACTTGGATGAACCAACTTTTTGACTGTCCCACCCCGGTGACTTGCACAACCCACATGCTGACTCTGGTATCGTAATCAGCCTGCTCGTATCCTGATCGGGAGTGCAAAAATTGGCGTATTTTCCTAGCCTTTCCGTGCGGGTGCGAAATTATATATCGAAGCCCCTCCTCGTCAAAAACAACGGTATGTATCAGCAACCGAATGGGACATTTGCGCTAAGTAGGAGAAACTATCCCTCCCTCTTTCCTTGCTGCTTCATTGAACTCGCATTGTTATCGCCTGAGCACACAATAGCTTGTCAATCAACGCATGCTGTTGGTAGGCCTCCTGCCGCATTAACCAAATTTCCTTATTCTGCCTCTGCGAATAATGCTCATCTGTCTTGGATTCCTGTCGTTCCTCACAGCCAAGAGTCTCTTTGGTCTGACTGTCCCCGAGGATTCGGAGGTTTGCACTTGCTCTCAAAGGGCAGATTTCAAACCTCTCTCACTAACTAAAGGCCCCCTTGTTCGGCAGTGGGACCGTGGTCAGAAAGTGTCCAAACAAATCCTAGTAAAAAGCCGTCACTTTTTTAAAAGTCAAAACAAACCAACAGGTCTCATGTATCTTCCTCAAACTTAGAAAAATGAGTAATCGAAAAGCGGAAACCGTGAAACAATACTGCCTCTGATGTGCGCAAGAAAGATGTCCAAGGCGTGATGCTCAAAAACTACAGGAGGTTTTCAGGGCGATTGTCTTCGGATCTCTTGAAAGTTGTAATTCAAAGAACAGAGGATGCAGGAACGCCATCTTCATAGTTATTTCTGGTCTATGCTTTTAGATAAAGAAGAAGGGAGAACCAACAGGATCGCATGCTTGAGTTCATAAAGTCTTTTTCTACTGTAAGTATTAGACTTAAATCCTCCGATCCCTGAATTGTTGGGGATTCTAGCCTCTGTTTATAATTTGAGGGCCGAAGAACCTTTCACAAAGACCAGGGGGAGGGTTTAGGAAACCAGACCTTTATGCCAGAATGAAATTCCAACGGATTTTTCGTGAACTAGCCAAAGCGGCTGGCACAGTCTGTTCATCATAGTAATAAGTAAATTGAATCGCAGTTAATTACACAGAGAGAAGTGTTTGCGAATATCTTGAGACTGCTAAGCTTGAGATGCACCGGTAAACAAATAATGGAGGAAACGGTGATTCACTGTCAGTAGTGGAGACTCAGTAAACATCCCGTTAAGTACACAACTCGAGCCACATTCATAAGTGCGTACTCATGTCAGTATCATCTCAGTCGTTGCACTTAAAGCACAAGTGTCTGGTAAAGACGTGAGAAGAGCATTAAGGAGTGTCAACAGTTGGAGGTGACTTACAGCTTTCGGAAACCGAATCTTTCCAGTTTATGAGCCATTGCACGTCAATACATTGGCTTTGAGAGTGCGGTTAGGGAGGGTGTCAGGGTTAATTAAGATGGTATTTACGAAACCACCACTGTTCCTGAGAGAACCATACACTTATAATTCCAAACGGGTGCTTTCCTCTCCTTTTTATTTGAGGGATCAGACATGCGATTGAAGATACCTTTGTTGAAGGAAGTAGACAGAACTTCCTTCCCGCCTATTTATCGGGAAGTTTATGTAAAGAGCATGCGATTTGGATATTTCTGGAAAGTCTTTCAAAGCATCCTAGAGATGATTCGGGAGATTCAAGCTTAGAAGGCGTCCGGAAAGCAGAAATTCATTTTGAGAAATGGGACTGACTAAAACGACAATGAATTACATGTGATATTCGAACGTTGTTTGAAATCATTTCCGAAATTCAATAGGAAAAAGCCTACAATAAGCACGATACTGATTTTGACCCCACATCGCTTTAACCTAACCCTGCCGGATGAAGCGCTGTAGATGATGAGGATAGGAATAAGTCGGAGATTCGAGTGTCATTCCATACCTGTCTCAGTGCTAAATAGTCCTGTCAAATTCCATGCACAATGTTTGAGAGTCAACCCTGTTTCTACTAGGGAAAGAGATAGTCGAATGCCCTGTATTCGGCAGGGAAACTGATGGAGGGATATGTAAGCAAGTTATAAATTAATTGAGTACATAGCTTTTCCGACGCACGTGAAAGAACTCGAAAACATCCTCTGTTGCCTCCAGGCAACGCTACTGAATGTTTTTAGAGGGAATTCGGAAGTAATAGGGTTCATGCTGAACGCTCTCATCTCGTCTGTGCTTTTTGGAGATGACCTACTGGCCGGGGCGTTGTCGCCGACGTAAACGAGCACTACAATTTTCAGCATTTGGACGACGTGCTTTCGGTTTTCATCAGTCAAACGAATGAAAAAAAAACAGTAAAATTCTTACCAGGGCTCGCTCATAAGGAGATCCTGGAACGTAGCTTTGCTTCTTGTTAAAGATGGAGCCGCAGAAGTGAACGAGATAATGTAATGTCTTTTGTACTTTCAAAATGTTTTACAAAGATGAAGAAAGTTGCATTATTGATACAGTCTTTTCAAGAAAGATCTATTGAGGATGGTGCTAAGTCGCTTCTGATTAATGATGAAAATTTGACGAGAAAGAACTAAGCCATTGTAGAAGGTAGTAACTGTCCCTCGAGAATGCGCTGTAGCTTCTGATGAGGTTGACAACAATGGTGATTTCGAAGGAGGTGTAGCTCCTCCACTTCATCCTTTCGCAAAATGGGGCGATTTTCGTAAGCGAATTGTCGTTCTAAACAGCGCTCTGTGTCGATCAATTTTGAGATCTTCTTGACACATGGAAAGGAAACATTGATTTCTTCATGGGAGTGTCAGTAGCGGACATTTGCTTTCGGTTAGGTCCACAGGCAAAAACAAGCAACACATGCACGCTAATGCACAGGGCGGGAATTCATCCCCCCGACTTGCTCCTTTCTTTTATGTGCACTTACCCAAGTGGTGACCACAGATGACTACATACTTGATTAATTGTTTACTATGCTTGTTAACTTTTTAATCACATAAATCAGTGAGGAGCTTTAGACAGGCTTAATTCTTCCCCCATGACTGTAACATGATCACGCAAGCGTGTGAATTTCTACTATGCCTGACTTATCTGTGACCTCAGTAACTAATAATTAAAACCATGACACGCAAACCCCCAGTCGATGCTTTGTTCTAAGCATGGTCTTTCTGTCCTTATATGGTCATGTGGATTGGCAAGACGACCGATCGTTGGGCAAAGAATGCGACGCCTGGTCGAACCCAGAACGTAAATGCCCGTTCGTGAACGAACAGAGGAAATGAATTTTGCCCGATATGAGGGCTATTTATGGGTAGTTTCGCGATGAACTGAGCTTCATCAGGAGGGTTAAACACCTTTGTCAGTTTCACTGGAGCAAAAAATAGCTGGTCAGATCGCTTTAGTCTTCTGTTTGCTCACATCTGTGTTGCATAAAAAGGATGCGATTCCATATGGCACAGTGAAGTAAGGTTCCTCCGGAACGTCGGTATTCATGGACCCGAGGTGCAAAAATGCGCCTTAAATTTCATAAAGCTCAGCCACGCAAAAATAACCCCTTAATTTGACTCGTACTAAACAAACAAAAAATGTTCAACTAACTTGCCAAAAACTGACTAGTGGAGGAATCAGATGTACCCTAAGTTTTGCCGACTGCAGGTTAGCTGTGTCACCTATGTCGATCATAGGTGTTCATTAGAAATATGTATGACTGAAAGTACACAAGTTAGACCGAGACGCTTACTGTTCCGATCTCCCTGGCCATTCTTGAAGATGCCAACCTCTTTGCGCACTTTAAGTAAAGTTGCGAATTTGAACATGATGGCGTTGTAAATACTGCTGTGGAAGGGTCAAGTGACTGAAGGTAGAATTCTGAAATGTTTTTGCTTCGAAAAGATTATTTGGACAGGGCTGTAATATTGATTATCATGCGGCATAGTTCGAATGGTATTTCAAGCTCGCTGGCACGCTGGTTTTAATGCGAGCTTCTTTCCGGTTGTCTCCGGCAAATGGCCAGATAAGTAGTATGAATTTTTCCCATTAGTTGTCTGCGTTTTTATTAGATCAAATATGTTTTGTAGAAAACATGCGTATAAATTTTCTCCTCTGCTTGTTTCGTAGCGAATTTTCGTCCTCAAAGTTCATGCTTGATGGAAAAGTATTTTTGGATTTTAAAAGTTGTCAAATCCCGAATCATTTTAATCCGTCCTGACGTTCTACTTGTAATCAGAATTCCAATCTGCAAGCCGTATATATTCCCTGTAACGAAAACAATGCCTCTATTCATACTATTCGGAAGATATCAAGCATAGCTCATAAAAGTATGCAGTGGACGTGGACCATGTTGTATATTTCGTAAGCGGCACCCATAAGTGAGGAGACGAGATGATTTATGAACAGCAATTTTACGGTATGAAAAAGTCACAATTAAAAACCTTTTCAAACCCGAAAAATACCCTTTCCTCAAACATGAAATTTAAAGGGGACGTTGATTATTACCGAATACGATAGGATATTTTGCGTGTGTTTCCTAAAAAGTGTCAAAATTTATGATGGCATCGAAAATCAGCAACAAATGTATGCATCATATGTGGCCAGTCCTTGACTAGCACAGTTTTTCAGGCAGCTGATAAGATGGGCATTCAAAAGCTTTAATCCTGGCTAACTTGAGAATCATGGCTTTATGTCGCATGATAATTAATGTTACGACTCCACCTGACTAACCTTTTAATTCGAAAACGCATTTCAGAATTTTCATTAACATTTCATGAAATATGGCATCTAACGAACTACCAAGTGGCTAGAAGTTCTTTGTGCAAAACAAGAAAGTAAGTCATCTAGCAAGCTAAATCACTGACAGCGCTCAGTTAGATTTTTCAATTAGACAAAGCATACAGTTATGGTGAAAATGCCCGATTTAACAATAACTAGCTCCGACAACTAAAAATATTCGGAATTTGTTTTGGAATTTGGACACTTCGCTCTTGTACTATTATTTGGACCGAGTTTGGCAAGGTTCTTGAAGGGTTAAAGCAAGGTCAACGTGAAAACGGCTCTCTCCGTTCAAATTGGGAAGAAAACATTCGCAGGCTTCAAAAGTTGCCCAGTTTTTTCATAAAGTTTCTAAAAAAATGACAATTTTGAGCTGAAAGTCGAGATCTCTCTTTGGCTTAAAGGTGTCTTGTTTGTTGCTTATTTAGGTGTAAAACTGTAGGCTGATGTTGTTGCTGTTGCTGTTGTAGAAGTCAAGCAATAAAGGATACTTTTAACCTTCATAAATGCCGTAAACGTTCCCTCTAGCGCCTATCATGATAGTCAGTTGACAGAATTGATCAGTTGGGTATCACAGGAGTTAACGGACTACTAGGAATTATGGGACATATGAGAGTGTTCGTTACTGACTTTCAGAAATAGAAAGGAGCGGTTTCAACAGTAACTCACAACCCACAACGAAAAATGGATCTTATTTCATAATTAAAAACGACCTCAACTAAGAATGAATGGTGGGCAGCACTAACGCATGAGCAGAGGCAATCCCGAATCCGCTGGCGTCTGTAATGACCAGGATAATGTCAAAAGCGAATTTTTGTTATTCCCTCCCTGAAGCAGGGAAAACCAATTCCAAATACCAAAACTGAAAGTCGAATGTATGCACTAAAAACTGTGCCTAGACAGTTACGTTTGTCATACAGATACGGACCAATCTTTCGCACAGGAACATTCGAACTCCCGCCCTACAAATTATCATAGAAAATGGGAGAAATGGACAAGGCGGGGTTACAGCTTCTACCGGATACGTCTGATGTCTCGCCAACGAAGTAAAATTTGTCCTATCATTTTACGTCATTTCGTTAAATAGAACACTCTGAGAACGGGCGACCTTGGCGGTGGCATTCATCTCCGAAACTGTAGCATGCTGAAAAATGCAACATTTGTTTTTGCTATCATTTAGATAAGATTTTTAAGGAGAATAAAATATGTTTTGATCTGGTAAAGTATTCCCAGTTAAAGATATAGCACATTATCTATTTATTTTTAAATCTGCAATTTATTTTGAGTCAGCCAAGACATTGATCACACAAATTTACTTCAAATGACTGTATCAAACAGCAAATTATCAAATACGCCGCATATTTAGTCAGGCTTAATTAAATGTGTACAATTTCATTGCAGCAGGGTGATAAAATTGTAGATTAAATACCCACGGGTACTCAAGTGCTGGTGACTTTCCATTTTCAGATGGCTTCGTAAATCAATCTAAGATGAATTTTCGCAAATTCGGGGCAATTTAAATGGGACGAAGTAGAGAATCTAGACGAGTTAATAGTTAATGCTGGTTCATGCTTTGCAGTTAAGAAAACATATATTCTAGGTTTGGCATTTTTTATTAATATCAATATACAGTTAACAAAAACCAGGGTTTTGAATGTGTACGTGAACTTCCTTCTGTTTAAGCCCTCTGAGGGAAATTCATCTATCAGTTTTCACCTACAACATACGAACAACTATGTTCGACTTTAGAATTCAATGCGTACAGCCGGTGACCAGTCTCAATAAGTTTTTAACCAAAATTCTGAGGTGCCTGTTAGACTAGAAAGGATTACTAAACGAATGTATAATATTAGTCATCTTACAGCATAATCCCGTGATACTTCAGACATGTCAGGATGTTGGCTTTCAAATGAAGTTTTCCGGTCATCGGCAAAGCAGTACTTGGTAAAAACATAATTACTTAATCAGCATGCATTCTTTCTGTTGATCTTCGCTGCCGTATATTTTTAAAAAATGTTTACAGAACACATGCACAAAAACATTCTTCCTCGTACGCACCTGGTAGTCAATCACGTCTTCATTAAATCTTGCACTAAAGGAAAAGATATCTTTCGACTTTAAAAAGATTTTTGGTCCTTGAATAATTACGATCCCGATGTGCCGTTGCATTGGCAGTTAGGGTTTCCAGTCTACAGAGTGTATACTTCTCATGTGAGGAAAAACACATACTCCTCTTTGTTTTCAAGAAAATAAAACATGGAGAACATAAAAATTTTTAACTGATGTTGAATATGTTGCATATTTATTGAGAAGCACTACTAAACAGATTTTTTTTGAATGGACGCCATACAGTCTTGAAAATCTCATAATTAGAATATTTTAGGACCGAAAGTACACTTTTCTCGAGTGTCAGATTTAACGAAGATGTGATTGACTGCCAAATGTGCACAAGAAAGAATGCTTTTGTGCATGTATTCCATAAAAATTTTTAAGCATGGGAACACCGAAGATCAACAGAAAGAATGCATGCCGATTAAGTAGTTATTTTTTTACCAAGTATGGCTTTGCCGGTGATCGAAAAAAAAATGCATTTGAAAGCCAACATCCCGGCGTGGGATTATGCTGTAAGATGACTAATATTACTCGGTCGCTTAGTAATTATTCCTAATCAAAAACGCATTTCATAATTTCGGTACACGTGTCAGGGGATCTATCACTCACAGTATTACGGAGGGAACAGTTACAGTTATAGTAGACGGGACACGAGAAGAGGTGCCCCCATAGGATAGGTGACCTTGTGCTGAATTTTTGAATGCTATTTTGTTCAAACCTTCACAGGAACCCTAGCTCAAACCTTAACCATTATCCGAACTCCAACCATAACCTAAACCTCCCTTGGAATTTAGAGCTTGGACACGTGTAATACGGGAGGGAGTAAGTACTCCGATGTCATACCATGTTTCTGGCCCCAGCTGCAGGTTAGGATTATGTTTGGCTGAATGGAGGCAGGATAAGCCCGAAACAGTACTGTATCATTCTGCCCGCACTTTCTGTCTGTCATCCTCTTTGCAAATCCCTGTAGCTTACATCCGCATACGGCCTTGCATCGGTTATCCTGTTTCCGAACTGCAGTCCACTTTGGAAGCCTCAGTCTTGGGAAACAAGCAAGCTTACCTTTATGATGACGTTTTAAAATATAAAGCTAAAGGAACCTTCCCTCCTCGTTTTGCTTGATCGATTTGGTAGTAAATGAGTGTCAGTGGTGCAGAATCAAATTTTAAAATCAAGGTGTAAGACATCTTCCATAAAATTTTGGACAACATAATAACAAATATCTAAAAGATATACAAAAATTTGTCCTGGATCACCCAGATTATTACTGGGTTCAGCCGATAAAGTGTCTGTTCTTATATGCTGTTCGGCTTAACCAAACATAGATCAAGCTTGGATTCGCCTCTGCATCGCTGCCAGGCAATTATTTGGACCCATCAAGAACCGTGGTTTCCAGTGCGCATATGATCTTCTACCTTTTTGATACACCTTTTGCCTAAGAGTGTCTTAACTAAAACAATACTATCATAAGATTTGCGTTCACCAGTTAATCCGGACTCGGGACTGAAGTAACATTTTCATTGGACCTTGGGTCTTTTATCAAGAGCCCACATAAACGATAACGGCTATTGGCCGGTAATCCATAAACGTCGCAGATGTGCGAAAGCATAGTCTGAGACAAGGGTTATTGTTCATTGTCTGCGTTAAGAAAAGTGTTTGTATTTTTGGACGCATGTTGGAGTCAATGAGCTTGACTTTGTACTCATCCTGATCAGGAATAGACACAAAATTCTGTTGGGCAGTGTTCACATTTTCTGTATGTTCAACCGATCCAAATACAATATAAAAAACCCTATTTGACCCTGTTTACAAGTATCTCGCCAAAAATAGTTTTTGGACTCCTTTTTGGCATACCTTGGGCTGACTAACGGCTAAAGATATCAGTAAAGACGAATCGGTAGACGTTCTTCGGACAGTATGTCTGTAATGCAGTTTGGGTTACTTACGATTAAAAGGATGCCACGATCTAATCAGCAGTGAGAAATAGACCACAAAAATGAATAAAGAATACAATAAATGAATAAAACTTGGTCGATTGCCGTTTCTGAGTATATTATGTACACAGAGAGAGGAACGGTGTTATTAAATAACCAGACTTTTATAAGAACTCAAGGTTGATCCACTACCTAAACCTCGTGATCTATGTATAGATGAAACAGAGGTCAAATCCTGTCGCACTCCCACTGGCGAAATGCTAAGGAAAAAGCATCATTTTTACAAAACGACTATTAAAAGGATCTTTTATGGCGGAAATTGACAGGTCAGTCGATTTTGGAAGTGCTCAGCACGGTACTGTTGCTGAGCAGGCATTTCGGTTTTTAAGCGCCTAGGTTGCACGACATACCATACTTGGCAGCATAGGCACGTGTTTTATCGGTATCCTGCAGCTTCATGACACAGCTGCGAGGGGTTGGGCTCATCTGTGTGTCCCCAGAGTTTCCCTTGTGCCTTCTACTAGATACTCCACTGTTTACATTGCGGTTTGTTTAATTTCCGCAGAAAACAATAGTTAACTTGAAGTAAATCAGTTTACTTTAGACCTGCCAAATTGCAGCCTGAGTCTATAAGTCCCAACTTAACTGGTTTATCCCAAATAAGCAATTAGTTTCTAGGGAAACTAAGAAGCTGGGATCTCATTAAAACTAGGGTGTCTACCAGAAAACACACAGGGAATGCTGGGAGACTCAGTGATGAACCGAATCCCTCACAGCTGCGGCAGAATATCGCCGAAACATGTGCCTGGGCTTTTAGCTAGTAACTGTGCTCCCAAGTATGGTATGCCGTGCAACCCATGTACATACTACTGGCTGCCTGTTGGAAGTTTACAAATATCGCGTGGTTATTGCGCTGTAACTGATGGAATCCGGCCCAAATGTTAATATTAGATTTCATTCTGAATCTATAGATAGTTAGCGGCTAATTTCTTTGGACCCTAAAATTTTTGAATATGACTGCTCAGTTTTACCGATCAGGCTGGAGAAGTTGAAGTGAACTTTACTGACTCATCTGTCGCTATCAGATAATGATACCAAATCCCGAGTTGCAAAGCATTGCCAGACAATGCCTTGACCCAAAACCATATTTCCACTTTCATAAGCGAACTCGAGTAACTTAGTCCTCGTGCAGAGGCTCAAAGCGGAATTGTGCAGAGAACTAGCTTATGCCGTTGATCTGGCTCTCCCATGATAACTTTGGGTCATTCTTTCCCTTGTCACTTTACAGGCACAGCTCTGTGACCTTGACTTCCATCGCTGCGTACAGACTAGAGCAGGACTTAAATGTCTTCAATACTGACCGTTAGACAGCGATCTTTTAAGGGCCTCTTGTCACGTCAGTTACCTGAAAACATTTCAATTCCACATCAACATTTTCATCATTCGCCGCAGGTAATGTGCTGCAACAGACTGTATTTGAGCTCTGATCGCGGAGGAGCTTGAGATCAGCATAAGACGCCCTATTTCTAGTACAGGACTTTGTTAGGTTTTTATCAGTACTCATATGCCTAATATCGACTTTACTTTTCTCTTATTCTGCAAACCGAGCTAAATCCGGCTATTGTGGTTTCATTGAGGAGCATAACAGAGAGGGGAAGAGCGGAATTCGTTGTATTTTGAAGTATAGATTCAGAATTTTCAGCAAAAAGAGCTCCATTCACTGTGGACGGAATATAAGCTAACATATTATTCAAGAGTCAGAAAGCTTTACATAGAAAGAAACGACTACAATGGGGACAGTTCAAGTCTTAGCTTCTGTATTTCTATCTCTTCACACGTAAGATAGTGAGTCAGGGACGGTAATACAGAATGCTAATTTGTCGATACACGGCAAGAGATATGTCGAAAGCCAGAGCACATGGGGCGGAAGGACCTCGCAGAGATTAGATCAGAATGCAGGTGATGGGCAGCGTCCTCCAGAATTCGACCAGCAAATTGCTTGGCCGTTTTGAAATGTCGTTGTGTAATAGTATTGGATAGAAGGACGTAAAAAACGCTGGCGGCAGAAAAGAGCATTCGGAGGACTCGTCTTAAAATCAACATATCTTACTTGAGCAGAAAAGGAAAAATGACAGGAGAATAATTAAAAATTAAAGGAAAAATGCAGGCATCTATGAATTGCCAGATTAAGGTTTGAGGTGTGTGGTAGGAGCGTAAACGATGAATGAAGTTTACGAACCTTAGTGAAAAACGGTCTCAATATGGAGGGGAAAAGAGAGATTTGATGACAAATTAACACCAAGGTATTTGAAAGTGGATACCTTGTTGGGAAAGATGTCAAAGTATTCATGACTACAAGAGGGTCGCAGTCGGAAAATATACTGGACTGATGCCTGATTATTCAGCACGAGACCATTTTCCCCCGACCATACCAGGGCATGGTCAAGGCCATCCTCCAGAGACTGGAGATGTATCAGATTTTTGAGAGAGTGGCCAACAACCACAACATCGGCATAATTAACTAATAGAGAGTCGTTTGGGGACCTTATACCATCACTGTGGAAGGAGACAAGTTGGGGGGATAAAATGGAACTTTGAAGAACTCTACAGTCATTGGGAAGAACCATAGATTTCCGCTTGCCGAACTGGACAAATTGAGTGCAGGAAGTAAAGTAATCGCGCAGCCAAGAGACAACCTAGCACGTAGAATCACGCGCGGGGTGTTTTGGTAAAAGTAGATGGCGCGGGACGGTATTGAAGGCGGAGGAGTAGTCACGAAAAGTACAGGCGTACGCAGGGCAACTCATTTCGTTCTCGTAGGGCAGAATGGACCACAAGAGCAACAGCATCTAAGGTACTACGCTTGACTTTATGTGCAACTTGCAAAGGGTCGGAAAAACCGGAAAATAATGGCTTTATCATGTCCTAAGCAACTCGTTCAGCAACCTTAAGCAGTGTGGAAAAGCAGGCAACTGAAGGAGAAGATCTAGGACCAAAACTTGCAAGTTTTTCAGGAATAGGGATGATGTTTACTGTACGCCAAGGATTCGGGAATCGTGGACTCCATAAAAAACATATTTATAAGGTGCGTCAAAACAGAGACCATCTGAGAACAGCAACCCTGAGGTAGTAAAGGTGAAACACCATCCGTCCCGGCAGTTGTTGATCCGCGGACTACTTTAAGACGTTTCTCTGCCATCACAAAAGACACAGATGAGAAGACACATGGTAGTATGGAAATGTCGTTTAAAGGCAAATGGGAGTCTTTGTGACCGAAGATAAAATTTTCATCTAAGGAGTCCTTGTCAGGAGGCGAGAACAGCAGGACCTGCTGGTGACAAAGGCGATCCGGGGTTCCGACGAGTGGATCGACCATCGCTTCGTCATATCCAAGATGAGGATCCACCACAATCATCAGCAGATGCACTTCCAGTCGCCTGTGTCCACAACTACCGTCCATGAACTTGTCTTCGTTGGCGGCTGCGTTCTCAACGCCACCTCGGAAGGAGACATGCAAGGACGCACGTACCTCTTCGCCGCCGCCTGCGACAACTTCGATCTAATCCTCAGCGCGGAGAGAACGATGGTTATGCATCAACCGCCACCCAACGCTGCCTACAATGCGCCCCACATAAACGTGAACGGCGTCTAAATGCAAGCCGTAGACACCTTCACCTATCTGGGCAGCACCATCTCTCGCAACAACAAAACCGACGAGGAAGTGGTCCGCCGCATTTCCAAGGCCAGTCAAGCGTTCGGCCGTTTGCAAAACACAGTCTGGAATCGACACGGTCTCCATCTCAGCACCAAACTGAAAATGTACAAAGCGGTCATCCTACCGACACTGTTGTATGGAGCGGAGACCTCGACGGTGTACAAGAAGCAGGTGCGGGGGCTCAATCACCACTTTAGCTGTTTTCGATGCATACTAAAGCTGGGGTGACAGGACCAGATCCCGGTCACGAATGTACTGGAATGGACAGGAATCCTCGACATGCACGCCATGGTGAGACCATTGCTACTGCATTGGTGCGGCTACCTCGTGTGGATGGACGATGAGAGGCTACCCAAATGGCTCTTCTAAGGAGATGTCGCCACGGGTTCATGTCGACGAGGAGGTCAAATCAGGCGCTATAAGGACTCCCTAAAGACTTCCTTAGAACGCCCGAAGATTAACTCAGCCAATTGGGAAGACGTCGGCCGGTACCATCCGACCTGGGGGAGGACAGTGAAGATAGGCGCAGTGGTCAACGAAACCAACCGCATAACCATCGCTAAAGCCAAACGAGAACCTCGCAAATCTCGGCTGCCCTCATCTCACAGCGCCCAACCGCCCCCGACCTGCCCATGTTGTCAGAGGACGTTGAGGGCAGCAATCGGCTTTGTTGGACATCTTCATACCAGTTGCAGCATTCGGACGACATCGCCTGATATTTCCCAGTCCACCTCTGCCTCGTCCCCCCGTCGACAATCATCCCTAACTGTGCTCCTGATCACTCACTGCCATCCTCCACCGTCCCAACATCTTCTGCGGTGGCTCCTGCCCCCGCCGCCACTGTACACAATTTTGGCTCACCGTCAAACATCAACCTCACCACTGCCAACACCAGCGATGTGGAGTCAGTCCAAATTTGCCCACACTGCAATCGCACATTCATCTCAAGCATGGATCTGGGCGGAAACTTTCGAACCTATCGTACAAAAACTGGAGAGCCAGTGCCTGGGGCACTGACCTACATCCGTTTTATCCGCCTCAACTGCTCTCATCGCCGTCGCACATTCACTCACAGCATGAGCCTATTAGGCCACATGCGCGTCCATGAAAACCTGCGGTAGATAACCGCCGGCTACACCACATCACCACACACTCTCCCGCCCGCACCTGCAGCACCCAACAAAGTCACTCATCAACGCACAACGCAAAGACTCAATTGCCATCCCCACCCAAGTGGGGAAGTGCGCTTTTTGGCTCCTTCTCCGTGCGGCTCCTCTGCCGTATGTGTGATCCGAGTCTGATTAAGTCTATTATTAAGTGTAATGAAACAGTACATGTTTAAATTTCACAGAAAGAGATACCAAATGATAAAATAGTGCTGCAGCCGACGAAAGCCGTAGTCTTTTCGTTCTTGCATCTTGCCAACTCAGGAATGCATGTACCGTTCACGGGGGCAATTTTTCCACCTTCTACACCGAAAACCACTTCCCTCAGAAATAGCTTTAAATTCACTGGAAAGGCAGGAATCCCGAAGAGATGAATTTGCTTGCGGGTTATCCCGGAGGCCAACATGCGGCACACTGTCGAGCAGCCTTCTGCAATGATTAACTGTGAAATGAGCGGGATGTCAAGTTTAACGAATAAGCAGCCGTAGACGAGAAGGCAATAATACCCTCACCAATTTTCAGGCACTTATTTAGCGTGTAGCTCACCTGTGAAAAGACCTCAAGCAGATGTTGCCCACAGTCTATTAAAGCTCAGCCCGCCAGCCGGAATGAAGCAGTGCTTTAAATGTGCGCCGGAGGTGTAGATTTAGGCGTCCATATTAAAATCTATGAATAAAGGGGCCCTCTTTAAAACAACTGACCTCATTTAATAACTTCCCGGCACGTTGCAGACTACACAGATCATTTAGTAGTTCGATTGCAGTTGCCGACGATGCCCACCATGTGCTTCACAGCAAGGTAAGAGCGGGCACGGTGGTTTGCGCGTGATTAAGTTTATTTTGAGGGCAAACTTGCGCAACATCCACCGCACTCTCTCCTCGCCGAAGTGGGCTCTCTGTTAAGAAGACCGGAGGCGGAGCAGGCGGCTGGCACGGCCGGATCCGCACCTAGACGTACCACCACACCCCCCGGTCCACAATAAACACTTGACCAGGATTTTAACCAACATAAAAATGGGTCAG